TCAATGAATAACAAAAGTACAATCATACTTGTGTCAATCGTGTCTTCTAAAAAGTCTCGTAAAAAGAAAACTTATGTCACATTACGCATTAGAAGCTAATGATTATGAATTATAGATTAGAATTCGACTAGTCAAATACCAAATTTAATTTTAATCCGTTTTGTTTCAATTGGCTGAATTCTAATTCATTTCGCAATCCTCAATTTTCAATGCGTATTATGACACGGGCTTAATGAGCTTTCTACAATAAGCTATTACCTAAGTTTTAAGTCTTAAGCCCATAAGAAATTGACCAATCATAGTCGATTATTCCTCTCACATTCAAGTATAACTGGTCAATTTCTTACAGGATTTAAGACTTAAAAGTTTATTGCAAAATGTATGTAGTTCTTCATAGAGCTCCAATCTTTTATTAAATATTCCTAATGTGTTTATTAACAATAATTTTTTAAATCCAATAACAATTATTGGATCTAAAGATTATTGTTAAAATATTATTGTTAAAAATATTTCTTTGACAATAATTGTTCAGATCAATAATTGTATCTGTTATCTAATATAATAGTATGTATATAATAGTATGTAAATACTATTATCTTCGAATCAATAATTGGATCCACTACACTCTTAAGTAAGTAATCCCAAAAATGTTAATTTAAAACAAATTTTGTTTTCAAACTGTTGGCCTGGAGCTCGGCTTGGAGCTCGACGAGTTTTTTGAATATATATTTTTAGATTACTTGAGTATACAAATATTTTATTATTATGTTGACATTTAAAAATATTGTTATGGCATAATACTAACTAAATGCGCGACGTACAACCAATTACAGCGCTGATTTCTAAAGCCTTTTTTTCCAAGCGTTATTTAGATATTAATTATAAGAAATCGATAAAAATCATTATTGTATTATATATATCGAGATACATTTCGTTAGAATTTTAATAATTAAAAGATAAAGACACTTTGCTATTCGCTCTACTTACTCTTGAAATCGAATTTGGAATCGAACGTTTTAATATGTCTCGTTGATTGTTGATATCGAAATAACCGCCATTTTCGTCACATCGCGTCGTATTATTAAAAAGATAAAGCTGATATTACATTTGTCGTACAATAAATTTTGTGTATTATAATTGTTAGGACAGAGAGTTTCTCGACCCTAGATTTAAAAAATTTGTCGTATGACAAACAATAAACGAACAAATATAACATTGGCCTAACGTGATAATAGGTCTATTTGCTTGAAATTCTCAAAAATATATGCATTCAAAATGAAACAGAAAGTTTATTATTGCTTGAAATCCCTAAAAATTAAATTTTTGTACTCAAAACAAGATAAATATGTATTCGAGTGTTGAAGAGAAAGAAAACGAAGATGCTAGGTGCGAACAGATTTAAATATATATATATATATATATATTTGGGCGTTGAAAAGAGAGAGAAAGTGAAAATGCCGAGAGCGCAAAAAGTGCAAGCGATGCGAGCAGATCTAATGACAGGACATCTCATATATTTATGTATGTTTATGACGCGGTTCCTCTTTCGTCACAATCGAACGCTCACGTCGTCCCTCCGCGTTACGTTCCGATCAGAATGAAAGGAACGTGATTAGCGGGTCGAATCTCTCGCGGAGCGAGACGCGTGAAGTTGGTCGTGCATGCGACGCGCGGTCGACGCGACGTGACGAATCAGGATATAACTTGTTGGGACGAGTCAGCGTCCTGACTATTCCCGTCGAATCGCGGCGCGCTACTGAAATTCCTGACGCCGCGCCGGTAACAATTTGGAGTAAGTAAGGAGAAATTTATATTAAACGGATATAACAAGAGAAACTGTATTGTACTAAAAAGAGGAAGGAACAAGGAGATATCACGCTTTGCGTCTATTGTATAAAATTACATTTCGTATTCCAACTCCGTGAAAAGATATCGTTACGTTACAATGGCGGGATTACGCGAATGATTATAATGAATTATATACAGGCTCAACTATGAATATCTTTTAGTCGTTATATTTATGTATGTACATAATCCGTCACTTTTATTATTTTATAATTATTACCAATTTTAATTTAAAATGATTAATTTGAGAATAATCGCTTGATTTTTTTTTTATATATGATTATTTTATATATGATTACATGGAGTATTTTTATGTTTCAATGTCTATTATTAACAACATATTGTATATTATTTATTCTGTTCCGATTTTTATATTTGAGAACATTATGGTATGAATTTGGATATGAATATGGATAAATTTAATCATAATTTTCTGAAAAACGTAAAAATCAAATAAAATTAAATGGAGTAAACATGTTAAGTAGCTTATTTTATATATGACAGTATTTTTTTAAATATAGATTTTAATTAATACAATACATTTAATATGATTTTAATTATAATGTTCGTTTATTGTGAATTTTCGATTTCATATTTGAAGATAAAGAATAATTTTTTAAAAAAAGAAAGAAGGTTAAACAATAAAACACTGTTATAAAACAATATTTTAACAATAAAACAAACAATAAAACACACTGCTACAAACAATATTTTACAAAAATTCATATTGTTTCGCCACTGAGGTTTAAAAATATTTTCAGTGCAGAACTATTCCCGATAATGTAAAGCTATTTTAATTTAAAGCAACTGTGAGATAGAATTGTCTTGGTTACAGAAAGCAAATAAATTATACAAAATAATTCAACGTAACTATATATGTATATAGTATACATATATTATATATATAGTTAAACATTTATTATATATGTATACTTATTTAAAGTCGTTAAATAATTATTGTGTTACAAATTTAATTGTTATTAAATGTTTTACACTAGTGAAAAATTAATCGCAAAAAGCTCGTGATTTTTTTATCTTTTTCACTGAAAGCTATGATGTCTTACAGATACATCATGTAATAAAGATATTTTCAGAAATAAATAATTAAAAAAAATCGACAAAGATTCTTTGTGAGTCTGGTATTACACAATCTCATTCGTTGTTTGGATATGTTGCTTTATGCCAAACAATTCACATAAATTATACGTGCCTTTTAAAGGATGCCTCGTGACAACCTTGAAACGAGTTAGTTCTGCTTCGTCCTTCGATTTGAATCGGCGTACTGGAAAATGTCTTTAAACGTCGGGAAATATTTGCGACAGAAATTGGTAACGGCTCGTCAAGACTCTTGAGTTGAGTAAAGCTCGCAAGTTCGATCGCGAAGTCAAAGAGGAAGTCCAGATATGATTCGTATTCCTGTACGGTCTCTAGGGGAGGCAGAGTATTTTATTATATTATACCAAAAATCACTGCGAAAGACACTGTGATGCTGTATTTGGAAATAACGACAGGAATAGTTATAACCATTGAAGCCACACTCTGTATATCCGTCAGATGTACAAGCTAGATATTAACAAGGGAGATTAGGTTAGACAAAATTCAAAAAATTCTGAAACGTGTATGAGTAATTCTCAAACATGCAAAAATTTAATCGCTAATTGTTTTAAATACATATTTAAAAAATTTCTATTGCTATTTTATTTTAATCAACAGATCCACAGAATAATCTTCTGTTGTTATACAGAATGTGGATACTAAGTACTCTAAAAAATTTTAAGGGGTTATTTTTCATATAAATTTAAGATGAAAACTTCATATCACTACATGTTTGAGAAACGATTTAGTTTTGAAGATACAGGATGTCAAAGACAAAGAAAAAATTTTATTTTTTTTCAAAAACTTCGAAAATCACTGAGTGAGAGGTATCGGAAAAAATTTAAAACTGCATGTCTTTTTTTTATGTCTACAAAGCTGTGTTTAGATAAGTATTGAAAAAAACATGGATTTTTAAATATTTATTTATATGTATTTTTCCAATAATTTAAAAAAATTTTTTTTGATATCTCTCATCGTTCAACAAAGTTATTTCATCAAAAAGAAAAATCGATATTTTTTCAAGAGATAATTTCATCCCCTCACATCATAATATGGCATGAAAAATAGTTTTGTGTTATGGATGAATTAATTTACTTGTGCACAATTTTTCAGAATTTTCTAAATTTCCGAGTTGCCTAATCTTTCTTTGTAAGTACTCTCTAAATTCTTTAGAATGGAATGTCATTCTAAAGAATGAAAAATTCTGTCAGTCTTGAGAAAAAGTAACAGAATTTTCAATCTTTAAGATGAGTGAGATTCACTTTTTAGAGTGAAATTCCACTCGAAAGAATTTAAAGAATATTTTAAAATCTAAAAGATTTTAAGAGATAATTTCTCACACAAATTCAAAACGAAAACTATGATTACACTCTAAAAAATAGCGGTGTCTATATAATTCTCACTATGTCGGTATTAATATTAACATCAATATGATATGAATTTAACATAGATTTTAAATCCACATAATCTATTTACACAGTGAGAATTATATCGCATGGTGTTAAATCCACTACTAGGAATGTTAAATCTACATTCAAATTTTTTGAATTGTGATGAATGCTTTTCAAGAGACACAGATAACACACAATGTAACACAGTGAATCATATCCTTATTGTTTGCCAATG